CAAGTGCTTGAGGACTTGGGTTGACTGTTGATCATGAAGTTGGGCTCAATTGGCTTGCCCACATACTCATCTAACCCACTTGGATTTGGGCTTCAGTGGATTGGGCTGGCCCAAGGCTTGGATCCGACCCATTTCACTTCAGCCGCTCCACTTGGGAAATCCATCTCTGTTCCCATCTCTGCCCCCTAACGGGGATCAAGTTTCTCCAACCCCGAAAATTCCCCGGCCCCCAAATCTGTTTCAACACCACCATCAACAACAACAACAACATCAACAGAATCATCTATATGAACATATCATTTTCAACATCATATCAACAAAATCATCAATAGATAATAAACCAAAAAAAAATAAAAATGAACAGACATGCATGTATACCTATACAAACAGATCTGAGATCTGTGTCACAGAGAGAGAGAGAGAGAGAGAGAGAGAGAGAGAGAGTGGAAGATCGGATAAAGATGGAGGACGATACACACATACAGATCTCAGATCGGAGGAGATTGGACGATACACACATACGGAGGAGATCGGAGGAGGAGGCGATGGTGGACGAAGGAGGAGGAGGACGATCAGAGCTTCCGAGGCGATGGATGGCTGTGACTGCGATGACAGAGGCCATGGACGACGGAGGAGGCCGATCGGCGTCGCGGACAATGACGATCGTCGTCGCGAGTAGTGCGAGGTGAGTGAGAGAGTAGCACTGTGCGAGAGTTTACCACATGAGTGAGAGAGTAGAACAATGAACTGATGAGGACGGTTTACCAAATTACCACGTGTATATAATATATATGTATATAGGGGTAACATAGTAATTTCACATCGGGGTAAACTGGGCCGGGAAACGGGGCCGGGCCGGGCCGGGTACGGGGCTGGGACACTTATCCCCGTCCCCGGCCCGAATCTGTTTGGGGATTAATTTTTGAATACCATCCCCATCTCGTCGGGGGTATTTTTCGGGAAAAACCCACTCAATTCGGGGTCGGGGGGTCAGGTCTCCGTCGGGCGGGGTTCAAATTGCCATCCCTAACTGGTGGCTCTCTGGATGAGCTCCTCCGTCGCAAGTGAGAGGGCTCTGCTTCAGTCTTCTTTTCCATTGGATCACTCATCACCCTTTTAAGTTGCGCTTTCAGCTCCTGTATCTCCATTCCCATGGAGTCTATGATTTGATCTCTATAATCCTTTTCGAGAAGAAAATGATGAGAAGAACCTCCAGTGAGGGGTAATCGATGCTCGATGGATTCAGGGGTCCGATTATTGTTTCCAGTTTGTTTTTCTAGGACAGTTGGGAGTGCCAAGCCTTTGTCCTTTGTTTTCTCCGTCTGTGGAGTATGTGTCGAAGGTGGGATGTCCTCAATCCCCATCGCCGGAACTGAGTATAGAGTTTAGAGATGAAGTGATCCACGTTCACCGCACCAATTGTGCGTACCAGATTCCGCACTAGATGAAAGTGGATCGGGGCTCCGCACTCGGTTGGACTATCCAGGGATTGAGGTTCCTACCATAAAAAGCACCGTTAGAGCTGCCCGGCCGGGGTTGGCCGGATAACCCCTCTAGTGTGGGAATTAGCGATTGGAGAAGAAATGTATAGAGAGTTGAGTTTGTATGTAAGTGTGGTTTAGCTTGGGATAGTTCAGTTACCTTCAATGTGAAGTTCATATAGTATATATAGGGTTCCTTACTTGCTTCTCAAGATGGTTTCATGGAGCTTAAGTGCTGCCAAGTGTCCTTTTAGCATTGCTCAAGGTGGGGGACCACCTGGTAGTTGTCATTGAATGCATATACTCATTGTAGTCATACTGATAACAAACCACATTCCTTTGGTTCAACAACTTCCGTGATTTTAGGTGTAGGGGACCAGTTGAGGTGGCAACTTGCACATGCATATGCTCACAACTTCCACATTTCTCTGTAAGGTTTCCTCTGCTCGGTACCTTAGTACCTCAGTTCGGCCCTAGACCAGACTTTTGTTGGGATGAGCCGGTCCATTCGGACATCTTTGTGTGGGCTTGGCCCACTATCTGTTTGGCCCATAGATTCAGTCTCGCAGCTCGGCCCAGCCCAGCGTCACGGCTGGACTAGCCTTTCCACTACGGGTTGGGCCCAAGTGCTTGAGGACTTGGGTTGACTGTTGATCATGAAGTTGGGCTCAATTGGCTTGCCCACATACTCATCTAACCCACTTGGATTTGGGCTTCAGTGGATTGGGCTGGCCCAAGGCTTGGATCCGACCCATTTCACTTCAGCCGCTCCACTTGGGAAATCCATCTCTGTTATGGCAATCCAATAGTGTCCTCCGAATACACCCATCAGACCAATCTCCATTTTCCCAATCCTTCGGATATTTGGGCACAAAGTTACTCAAACAACCGCATACTGGTATGTTTTCAATATTACAACTACCATATGGACCACACCGTTTATAATTATCACAATTATCTGTCGGTGTAGTCAGGTAAAGGACTCATTCCTGGGTTCGATCAATCCATGTCAAGCGTTGCATAATGCCATTATGACTCAGAGGAAACCTTGAAACAACTGAGTTGTTAATGAGTTCATAACCATAAAACACCTCCTCTTTGGTGAAAACCAATCCATATGTGTAGATGGAATTTGGTTTAAGGTTTGGTTTTCCACTGAATCCGAGACGATTCCATGGCCCAGTTCGGTACAGCTCAATGGAACGATTGCTCAGAATAAGTTGCGGATATCCTTGGGGTTCACACCGAAATGCAAAATCACCTTGACCTGGATCATATTGTAACAAAAACTATGTGTATTGTTTTTGTTTTGAGAAAAATGTAGATGGTGAAATTTTCAAAACCTAGGGTTAAAAAAAGAGTAATTCTAGGGACGATCTAGTGTTATTGCTACTCTTAAGATTGTCCTATGATGTCGCTAGCAGCATCGAGATAGACATTGCTAATGGTATCAAGATATGAGATCTGCCACCAACACCGCCTTTTACACCTTTGACACTAACAACATTTTCTTCGTCTTGTTGCTCTTCCATCTCACTTGTCGGTCCAAATATTTGTATAATGTTTTCTATTTTTCTAATATGTTTTTTTTAAAATTATGTCAATTTTTAAAAACTTTTCTTTCCATCTTAGGAATTTAAAAAGTAACGAAAATTTAAAAAAAAATTAAGAAAAAAATTAAAAAAAGTCCACTATTTTTTGGGTCATTTCTTGACTTTTTTTAAAAAAAAAAAAAATTAATGGTCCGTCTAGTGGGTAGAACTTGGAAAATTAAATATTTCTGAAATTAAAAAAAAAAATCATTAAATTACAAATAGATGAAAAATATTATAAATATTAATAATTAATATTATAAAATTTACCATAAATTTTTAATAATTTTTATAATTTACCAATAAATGGTAACTTCCTCTTTTTTTCCCCAAAAAAAAATAAAATAAAATTCCAAACAACCCTCAATTTCAACATTAATATATTAAAAAAAAACATTTATAATATTTATCAACCATAAATTGGGCTCTCAAATTCAATTGTGTTGCGTCATTGGCGATGCACAGTGAGCGCAATCAATAGTCCGGTGACATAGCGAGTGCGAATGAGATAAAGCTTCTACTCGGTGAAAAACTGCAACTACATAATCCAATTATATATTATTAACGTGTGCAATTTAAATAAGTAAAAATATAAGGATAAGTGAAAATTTTCACAACAAAACCAACAATTTTTAAATATTTTATAATGCTAAGAAGAAAGAATACAAAACTCCCAATCTATATTCATATCTGAACTTGATTATTCCATGTAAATTCCCAAAATTTTGGGAATGTATGTGCTGCTTCTGCCCTCATTGTTAATTATATAATGAATAAATCATGGTTGATTCGTTAGGCCTTTGAAATGAACATGAAAATTTCAGCCTCATTGTCGACACTATAAAACATATTTGGTCTGGTTAAAAGTGATCAAGGCGATGAATTATATGCAAAACATCGCCTGTCAGGATCAATAAATCTATTTGATGAATGTTCTGCTGTACAAAATATGTTATTATAAAGAAAATCATGGTGATTCCTAGGTGGGTTTGTGGAGTGGACATATATGGCAGAACAATTGTGGAACTATATTAATTATTTTTCTACATGTTTTAATTCAGATGTTGGCTTGTTTACACAAATAGGTTAAAAATTAATTTTTAAATTTTTTATAAAAAAAATAGAGGAATAATATAATTAAAAAAATTAAAAAAGTAAAAAAATTAACTTTTAATTAATTTTCTAAAATAAACCTATATAGTGATATATGTACCCTCGATGGTTTTGTTGTTAATTATGAAGATTATAAATTTTATTCCTTTTCATTTTAAAATATTAATTTCTTATTTTATTTTTTATTATCTTAAAATATTAATTATTTTTAAAAAAATAAAAAATTAAAATAACATGAATTTTTTTATTTTGCTCTTATTTTAAATTTATTAATATTAATATACATAAAAACATGAAATTGATGTTCTCCAAATGAATGATATGTTTGTAGTTCGAGGGAGAAAAAGGCACAATGCTCAAGAAATTACAAACCTACATCAGTATCGTGCTGAATTATTCTTTACTATTTTGGATATGCAAATTTAAGAACTAAATGCTAATTTCACTGAATCAAACACTGAGTTGTTATTGATTGGGAAAGAAAAATTTTGAAATTCTAATTAATAGGTACTCTCCCTATATCAAATTTCTGGCTCCGCCACTGATTCCTAGGTGGGTTTGTGGAGTGTACACATATGGAAGAACAATTGTGGAACTATATTATTTATTTTTCTACATGTTTTAATTCAGATGTTAGCTTGTTTTTAGGGAAACTTACAAGCAGGAAGGGGCAAGTGAAGGTCATATTAACCCTTTCAAAAATTGTCTTCTAAAAATTTAAGGTTGTTAGGGAATGCGTCCACCATTGTATATTAAGCGCTAACAAGCGTATGCTATGGACTTTATTTATTATGAGCTCGACCCTCAAAATCTAATGGCTAACACCAATAATCCAAGGATGAGAACATTTTCTCATCTTGTTTTCCTGTTAATTTCTTCATGTTTGCTGTTTGTTGATGCCTCAACAGATACAATCTTACACGGACAGTCAATCACAGCCTCCAATACCATCGTATCTGCTGGCAATGGCTTCGAGTTGGGATTCTTCAATCCTGGGAACGGGAGCTCGACAATGAATTACTACCTGGGTATATGGTACAAAAGTATTTCGGAACAAACTGTTGTTTGGGTAGCCAACCGAGACTACCCATTCACAGATTCCTCCGTGGCTCTTCTCATCAGCGCTGATGGAAACCTCGTAATAGTGAAGGGAAAAATTTCATACACGTTGACTAACATATCATCAAATGGTAACACTAGTGCTACCCTTTTGGATTCAGGAAATCTTGTTTTGAGAGACGAGACATCTGGTGACTTACTATGGGAGAGTTTTGACTACCCTTCACATTCTCTCTTGCCTGGAATGAAGCTTGGTCGTTTTAATAATTGGTTCTATTGGAAGCGCTGGTCTTTGATATCCTGGAAAAGCAGGGAAGACCCTAGCCCTGGAGTTTTCTCTCTGGAAAGTGATCCTCTAGGCATGCACCAGTTCTTCATCAGAAAGGGATATCAAAAGTATTGGACTAGTGGGGTATGGAATGGAAAAAGTTTCCCAATGATCCCTGATATGACAGCTCACAATATAAACATCACCTTTAGTTTCAACCCGTCGGGGGGCTATTTCACTTACTCTGTTACTGATGCTTCTGTGACTATTATAATTGTGTTGGATGTATCAGGGAAACTTCAGCTGCTGTTGTGGTCTGAAACTAATCATCAATGGGATTTGTTGTGGTCTCAACCGAGCCAGCAGTGCGAGGTTGATGCCTACTGTGGGGCCTTTAGCAGTTGCAGTCAAAAGGCCCTTCGATTTTGCCAATGTTTGCCTGGTTTTGAACCCCTTTCTATAGAAAATTGGAATGCAGGGGACATGTCAGGAGGGTGTGCAAGGAAAGCCCCATTGCAGTGCAGCAATAGAAGTCAAGCCAATTGGAAGAAAGACCAGTTTCTTCGGATATCTAAAGTAAGACTCCCCGTTAATCCAGTAATTTTGCAACATAGAGGTGCTTCAGATTGCAAGTCAGCTTTCTTGGGTAACTGCTCTTGCTCTGCTTATGCTTATGGCAGTGATGGGTGTTCAATATGGAGTGAAGATCTCTTTAATGTGGAACAGCTGACAAATGATGACCCCCATCGGAGAGATTTCTATCTAAAACTTGCTGATTCTGAGTTTCTTAGTAGAGGTAAGAATAATGGAATTGCCTCAATTGTTTTGGTGGCATGGTGACAGAAATTAATTACTTTGTTTTGGATAAAAATGAATTCAGTCCACCTAACTCATTTTTCAGATTCAAGAAGCAAGTGGTGGAAATGGCTAATTCTGGCACTAGCAGTTTCTATGACTCTATCAGCCTTGGTTTATTGTATTACAGAAAAGAGGTACGCATTTCACTCTTGGAACACAATACTAAACCAATCCACGGGAGTTTTTTTTTTTTTTTTATATATATAGAGTAAAACTTAGTCCTTGTGCTTCTATATAAGTTCAAATGCCCAAACATAATTCCAAAAAAAAAAATTAATAATAAGCCCCTATATTTTTTTTGTCAAGCGAGGGAGGATTTGATGCTATTCGATATTGGTACAAGCGTTGGAACTAGTAAGAGTCTTATTGGTGGAAAGAAGGAAGTTGATTTACCGTTGTTCAGTTTCGCTAGTGTTTCTCTTGCTACTGATAACTTTTCTGATACAAATAAGCTTGGAGAGGGTGGTTTTGGACCTGTTTACAAGGTAACATTCAATATCACTGACCACGATTCTTTAGGGATGTTGAACACTAAACAGAAATCATTTTGATCCTACCAAGTAGTTCAGTCCCAATTGATGCATTGAGCTTTGTTTTATTTTTTGAGAGTCCATGTTTACTTAATAATATGTTATTTTCAGATAGTGTTTGATGTTAGTTTTCCATAGATCATAAACAAGCTAAGAAGGTTCTGTATCAGGGAAAGTTGCTAAAAGAATATGAGGTGGCTGTGAAAAGGCTTTCAAGAAAATCTGGACAAGGATTAGAGGAATTACAGAATGAGGCTATGCTCATAGTAAAACTTCAACACAGAATCTTGTGAGACTACTGGGCTGCTGCATTGAAAGAGATGAAAAGATTTTAATCTATGTGTATATGCCCAACAAAAGCTTGGATTTCTTGCTTTTTGGTTTGTGCCTTTGCATTCTTGAATATATTTGATCGTTTCTGTTTGTATGTTTATCCATATTTATGTACTACCATTTAAATCTATTAATTTGATGTGAAATCGCGACAGATCGAATCAAACACGGGACACTAAATTGGGAGTTCGAGTTAACATCATTGAAGGAATTGCTCAAGGGCTTCTCTATCTTCATTAGTATTCAAGGTTACAAATCATCCATAGAGATTTGAAAGCTAGCAACATTTTGTTGGACAAAGATATGAACCCAAAAATTTCTGATTTTGGGATGGCAAGAATTTTCAGTGGAAATGGATCACAAGCAACAAATCAAATTGATGGCACTTAGTGAGTAAAACACAGTTTATGCACCTTTGCACCAAAACATCTTATTTTTTCGTACATTGATATCTTTAAGGCTACTAAACGATTCAATTTAATACTTAAATCCAGTGGCTATATGTCACCTGAGTATGCTTTGGATGGCCTATTCTCTATCAAATCCGATGTCTTCAGCTTTGGAGTCTTGTTGTTAGAGATTTTGAATGGCAAAAAGAATACAGGCTTTTATCTAACTGACTCTGTTAATCTTCTTGGATATGTGAGTACCAGAATGCTATTACATTTATCATGCCCTTCTTTTACCTTTCCACTTTTTTTTGACTTTGAAGGATTCACATTGAGATATACTATACTGTCTTATGTTCTTTAGGTATGGGACTTGTGGAAGAGTGGCATGGGACAGAACCTGAAGGACCCAATATTGGGAGACATACCTTCTACACATATGCTGTTGAGGTACATAAACATTGGACTTCTTTGTGTTCAAGAAAGTGCAGCTGATAGGCCTACCATGTCCAGTGTTGTGTCAATGCTTAGCAATGAACTTGTGCTTCTACCCTCTCCAAAACAACCTGCATTTTCAACTATTACAAATGTGCCAGATCGGAATTCATGCAAAGCCCAGAAAGATGTTCACTGAACAATGTGACGGTTTCAATTCTGGAACCCCGGTAACAGTTCAGTCTTCCATGTCAATTCATTTTATTGTCTTTACTTGTTCTTTCTTACTGAACTTACATTTTGTGGTTGTTTTTTTTTTTTTTTTTTCATAAGAGAAGTTTGCTGAAATGAACTAAAAAATTGTTAATTTGGTGGAGAGTGACACTGAGTGCTGTCTCTATCTATTCTGTGTACACTTTGTAACCCTTATTCTGGAAGAGGGGAGGTTCAACTCTTTTAAAATGTCAAATAGGTTTAGTGAGTCGGTTTGTTGATACAATACAAAAAATTGTCAACCAATTTCAGGATCCATTCCAAAAATCAATAAAGCACTGGAGTTTAAGTTTCTGATTGGTTGTTTTATTTATTTATTTTAAGAACAATTGTTTGATCTCGTTTGTTAAAATTTGGTTATCTCATTAAGTAGATGTCTGTATGAGTTAGAGTTCAATTTTTTATTTAATTTTAACTTTCTTTTAATTTGCCCTTTTGGAGTACAGCTAGAACCAAAGTGAAGAACAAAAGGTGACTGTTTGCAACCCATTCGTCTACACAACCTCTCAATTCTCACGCTCCAAAACAATTTGATTGCATTGTCTCACAATGAATTTTCACCGTGTGATTTTTCACTATGATAGACTGATAGTAAGTGAAATTTCACTTAAAATTGATCATTTTTTTGGAACTCTCAATTTGAACCTTTTAGTGATAAATTTGGAATTATAGGCCTAATTTTTATAATTAGTCACCAGTTTTAGAATTTTTAGTGCTGAAATAGATATTCTATTGACTTCAATTCAAATAGAGTCCATAAAGTTTCACTGCGCCAAATCAACAAAACTTAGCAATTCCGAATTCAAACAAACTATTATATATTAATAACATATATGTCTCTATATTGGGCCTAATTTAACCCTTCCAAATTTAACTCTGAATAAAAAAAGCTAAAGCTCATCCACTTAACTTGATATAAATGGGATTTTTGTGTGAACTATTAAATAAATTTTATCCCTATTACCACAAGTGTTTGAATTTGAACATTTGACCACATATTAGAATTTCAGTCTTTATATTTATACACTTGTAAAAGTGAAATATTTAAATATTTTCTAATTTATTGTATAACTAAATAGCAAAAAAATAAAATAAAATAAAATAGAAAATAATAATAAATTACAAATATTTCATTTATGATAAAAAAAAATTAATACGTTTTCTCCTATAAGTTTTGTAATTTTAGTTTAATTCACCCGATAATATGGTAAATCACATTTGTCAATGTATTAATTAGTCTTTGTCAATGTAGGTGCTCAAGAATACAATGACAATGAATAATAATGGTAGACCATGAGAGTTGAGTGATTAATTTGGTTTGATAGAGTTGGGTGTTCAATTTTGAGTTTTTATTTTTATTTTTTTATTTTTTTATTTTTTAAGAGTAGGTATTTCATTTCAATTTGTGTTTATTATAATAATTTTAATTAAAGTTATAATTTTAGAAAAATGGTGATGGCTATTAGCGCCACTTTTTTATTTATAGTAATGCTAGTCTTCAGGAAAAGGCTTCAGGAAAACCTTCAGGAAAAGGTGGGTCCCACCTGGCAAGGAAATTGCTAGTTTAAGAAATAAAAAAAAGTTCTGAGTCTCATGTTTCAACTCTCTCACCACTCTAGCTCACATTTCAATTCTCTCACCACTCTCTCGCTCAGCTCTCACCCGCAAGCTTGCTGCCGCCGGTCACTGCCGTCGACGTCTCCGTAACTGCTGAGATTTCCGTTTGATTTCTCCGTCACTCTCAGATTTTTGCTGCGATTTCAGTCTCTAATCCCACCATTCTTGCAAGAACACCGAAGGTAAGATTTGCAACCAAAATCTGAGTGTTTGTAGTTGTTTTACCAAGCTTGATTTTGTATCCTACCTTCTTTGTGCGATTTTGGGATTATTTTTTTCAAACCCTAGAATTTTGAATTTTGGGGCTTTTGAAAATTTTTGTTGTCTCTGAATCTTTCAATGAAAGAGATGTTGTGGATTGCATAGGTTATATAACTCAATTTTCGTTTTAATTTCTGTTACCTCTAAATTTGAATCTTTCAATGAGATTTTGTGGATTTACTTTGTTTCATGTATGAAAGCCTAGAAATTGCATAGGTTAAATTTTGGGGGTTTTTGTTCAATTTTGAAAATTTTTGATGCCTTATACCACCAATGTATATATTTCAAGGCACAAATTATTATTTTTAAATAGTCTCAGTTTAGTTATTGGTTGTTTATTTATTTTTGTTTAAGAACTAAATTAATTCCTGTTTATTTATTTCCTTTTTATTTATTTTTGTTGAAGAACTTTTTAATTTGTTATATATATATATATATATATATATTGTAGAGATATGGATGAAGAAATATGGAGTGGTTCTTCAAGTGAGGGCATTAATGAAATTAATATTGAGAATGAAATGGAGGAAACAGAAAATGTAGAAGTCGAAACTGAAAATGTAGAAGTCGAAACTGAAAATGTAGAAGTCGAAACTGAAAATGTAGAAGTCGAAACTGAAAATGTAGAAGTCGAAACTGAAAATGTAGAAGTCGAAACTGAAAATGTAGAAGTCGAAACTGAAAATGTAGAAGTCGAAACTGAAAATGTAGAAGTCGAAACTGAAAATGTAGAAGTTGAAACTGAGGATCCTAAGGTGGGAATGATGTTTAAGTCAAGTGATGAAATTTATGAATATTATGCAACATATGGGAAGAAAAATGGTTTTGCGGTGTCTAAGAAAAATTGTAAAAAGGGAGGCGATGGGGAGAAAAAATATATAACTCTTGCTTGTACTCGTGCTAGGAAGGCAATAATCAAAACAAGCAATCCAGTTAAATTACGGCCACAAACAAGAACGGGATGCAAAGCTTGCATTAATGCAATTCTACAACCGATGGAATGTGGCTATTGCGATCCTTAGTACTTGAGCATAACCATAAAATGAGTCCAACCAAATCTCGTTTTTTCAAGCAAAATAGGATACTTGAGCCGCATGTGAAGAGGAGACTTGAATTAAATGATAGAGCGGGGATTAGGATGAACAAAAATTTCACTTCACTTGTGTTGGAAGCTGGAGGGCGTGAGAAGTTGTCATATTTAGAAAAAGATTGTAGGAATCATATAGACAAAGTTCATCGTTTACGACTTGAGGAAGGAGATGCCACTGCAATGTATAATTATTTTGTGAAAATGCAAGGTGATAATTCAGACTTTTTTTATGTCATGGATTTGGATGGAAATGGTCGATTACAAAATGTATTTTGGGCCGATGCGAGGAGTAGAGCAACATTTAAAGAGTTTGGGGATGTGGTCACATTTGACACAACATACTTGGTAAATAAATATGATATGCCATTTGCCCCATTTGTTGGTGTGAACCATCATGGACAGTCGACATTGTTGGGTTGTGGACTCATTTCACATGAAGACACAGAGACATTTACATGGCTATTTCAGTCTTGGCTTGCATGCATGTCTGGATGCCCTCCCAATGCTATTATTACAGATCAAGACAAAGCCATGAAAAAAGCCACAGAGATTGTTTTCCCTAATGCGCGTCACCGATGGTGTTTGTGGCATATTATGAAAAAATTGCCTGAAAAATTGAGAGGATACAAGGAATATGAAGCAATAAAATTTGGTATTCAGAATGCAGTTTATGATTCATTAACTACAGAAGAATTTGAAGAAAATTGGGGTAAGTTCATTGAGGAGTATCAACTTCATAGCAATGATTGGTTACTTAGGTTGTATGAGGAAAGACATCGATGGGTACCTGCGTTTGTCAAAGACATTTTTTGGGCAGGAATGTCAACCACACAGCGTAGTGAAAGCATGCACGCATTCTTTGATGGGTACATTAACTCGAAAACCACTTTGAAACAATTTGTGGAGCAATATGAAAATGCTATGGCAAAGAAGGTTGAAAATGAAAATGGTGAAAAATTCAATTCTCTCAACTCATACATCCTATGCATAACTCAATATCCATTTGAAAAGCAATTTCAAAATGCTTACACAATTGCAAAATTCAAAGAGTTCCAACAGGAGGTTGTAGGAAAGATTTATTGCAATTTGTCTCTGTGTTCAGAAGATCTTAATTTTTCTGTGTATGATGTAAGTGAAGATGTTCCCTTTGGAGAAAGCCTTAGACTTGCAACTTTCACAGTATATTTGAAAGAGGACAGCTCTGAAACAAATTGTAGTTGTCGGTTGTTTGAGTTTAGGGGAATAGTAGGCCACCATGTAAAAGGAAATAGTATATGCTTGAAAAAACTATTAAAAAGAAGCAAAGAATGAAGACCAGGACAAAGACAAAGGCCACTAGCACCAGCAGCCAAGGAAATATAGAGGTGTGAAAAATATCTCATGCATGAATTTACCATTAATTGATAAGCTATTATTTTGTTAACTTTCAAGTTTTATATTTTGTAGCAATCTGAATTTAGTGCGCCTTCACATATGGGATTTGTTGATCTTGGTACACAAGAGAGTATTAAAATCAATGTAAGAAACTTGTTGGATTTATTGATTTCTTTTATAGCTAGATTTTGTTAGTTTATTGTTGGATTTATAATTCTATGGGTGCTTGTTATATTGCAAGAATCTGAAATGTTGGCTCCAAGTTTCGGGCAACAAAACATGCTCCAAGGACACTTGTCATCCCAAGTACATAATATTCCATTTTGTATTTTATTAACGTGGCTTAAACAAAAATTTAATATTTATGTCATTTATTTTATTTTATTTTTTTGGTAGGGACATCATCATCCATCTCAATCTTGGATGTTGGGCAATTCAAGTTTCACGAAAATGTTGAATGATATGGCGCAGTCACAATCTGAAAATCCCGAACGAGACAAAGATGAAAGAAGTTGAAGATGTCAACAATGACAATGTTTCTTGGACCTATATTAATTTATTTTTAATTTACCATTGACAATATT